CGAATGCCTATGGGCTGCCGAGTGGAATGAGCAGGAGAGCTGCATTCTGCCACAGCTCCCCAACCTTTAGCTTCTTCTCAGAAACACTCGTAGCATTGCTGCCCACTCCCATTAGCGTCCTTGCAAGAGGAGACCTCACCTTCAGGACCGGCCTGGTGAGCCTGACCCGGCTTCATCGTGGCCAGCGGACAGCCCCACACCGTTGGATTTTTTTTATTTTTTATTATTGAGTTGTGTTCTCATGCAACCTTGTCAAAGACCTCATGCAATATCACTTTGAAAGTTATTTTCTGTTTACTACACAACCATTGTAATATAACTGTTAATACTATTTATATATTTGAAAGGTATAAGAGGTAGGAGTTAAAAAAAAAAAAACCTCTATGTGTAGATATTAACTCAGAACTTACACTATACAGGGAGAAGACGTTGCAATACAAGCTAATTCTAGCTGCTCAGTAACCTCTGGAGTTTTTAAAGGGACATGTTCCTGTACTTTTCCCAATACTGATGTTGAAAAGATGATCTCCACACGAGCATCACATACCTTTGCGAAGGGATGGTTGTTTGCGGTGAAAGCCTGGGCCCAGCCCCCCTCCTCCTGTAGCGCGCTGCGGCTTTCGTCAGATAGGCCGCGGCTGCCCCCTGATCTCCGAGTTACTCTCTCCAAATTGTCTTCTTACACTGTCGCTGAAGGTCACTCTGTCCACGTAACGGAAACTGATTTGCCAAGCTCTTACAAGGTGGTTCATCGGTCGATGGCATCCGCATTTGGTATCTTTTACACTTCAACCAAAAATTTATTAGGTATTTTTCAATGCTAAGTCTTGCCTTTTATTTTTTAATTTCACTGCCAAGTTTGCAGTGGTTCTAAGTGAATCTGTGGGCATTTTAGCCTGTGGTCTTGCCAGATCTTTGCGAATTACAATGCATATATGTCTATTTATTCAATATCTGTCATATAATATCTATTTGGAAGAAGAAACTTTCTCTTGTAGTGCCTCTTGACAAAGCACAATTTCCCGCCTTTTTGTGTGTGTGAAATGAAAAACAAATTGTGTTTTATTGCGGTATCAACAATGTGAATAAGGATTAACATATTGTAAATGTTCTTTTTTCCATGTAAATCAACTATCTTTGTTATCACTAAGTGATAATTAATTTTTAACTTATGTGCATTGTTAGGCTGTTAGAATTTTTTGGTTGTTAAAATAAAACGCATTCAATAAATATGACGTCGTTTGTCAAATATTTTATTGGGCGTTGCCTTTGCCATTTCACCTTCATGTAGAGTGAGAGCTGGTGAGGAAAACCCGTTTCTTTATTTTACAAAGAAGGCAGTGGGCCCAGCCAGCATGGTTCAGTGGTCCAGCATCAACTTACGAACCAGGAGGTCACGGTTGGATTCCCGGTCAGGGGACATGCCCGGGTTGTGGTCTTGGTCCCCAGGAGAGGGTGTGCAGGAGGCAGCCGATCAGTGATTCTCTCTCATCATGGATGTTTCAATCTCTCTCTCCCTCTTTCTTCCTCTCTGAAATTAAAAGGAAAAACCGACAGCGGTATTCTAAGTTAAAGATGCCTGAGTCCAGTACGATGCATGGACTGGAATGTGCATGTGAGTGTATGTTCCTCTCTGTGTGTTTCTAAACGCACACGTGCTTGCATCCTGGAGCTGGCAGCCGGGAGAGCCGTGTGTCCAAATGCTCTGTCGTCCGCGAGCAAATGCACAAAGATGTATTTATGGGCTTGCTGCTTTATTTTTCTAGTGAATATTTTCTGTTTATAATTAAAAACCACAAATGACTGCGTGTCAGGAAACTTTTGGAGCACACATGTCCATGGTTAATGGACATAATAAAAGTCTTTTCTATTTAGAGCTGGGGTCCCAGAATGTGCGCATGGAGGAATGCTGAAAGGAATCATGTATCGGAGAAATGTGTGAAAACGATTTTTTAGAAAGTGCTTACAGTGGAAAAAATTACTCAAAAGGCAAATGTTAACAAGGAGGAAGCAAGTGCCTCGCTTCAGAGCTGGCGAAGAGGAAGCCCAGTAGAAAGGGATTTTTGTTTTCTTTTGATACTGTACATGGTCTTTCCAGTGCTTTTTTCTTTTTCATGTCTTGTATTTGGTGGATATACAGATGGGATGGCCCGCCCCCCTTCCTCAGTTTCCCTGGCCTTGTCCCACGGGCTGTGTGGGTAAGTGCCAAGGACAGTCTGCAGACACAGTGCTTGCAGGGAGGTAGGCAGCCCCAGGGCACAGCCCTGAAGGCTTCCAAAGGCAAACCAGCAGCTCTGTACGGGGGGAAGCACCGTGTTTGTGCAAGTGGAACTGAAGGCTGCGTTTGGGAGAAAGACATGGAAGGCGAGCATGTGTGGGGCCATCTGACTTCCAGCACCAACAGCTCCCTTGTGCGTGAGGCTGTGTTTCCAGGGTCAGACATCTCAGCGGTGACAAACTCAGAAGGCAAGGCTCTGCTCACAGGGGGGCTGGCTTCTGTCTGGAAGGGGGTCTCTGTGCTACCAGCGCCTATTTTTATTTTTTAAAAAAATATTTTTATTGATTTCAGAGAGGAAGGGAGATGGAAACATCAGTGATGAGAGAGAATCATTGATTCTCCTGCACGCCCCCTAGTGGGGATTGAGGCCACGACCCAGGCATGTGCCCTTGACCAGAATCAAACCCAGGACCCTTTGGTCCGCAGGCCAACGCTCCACTGAGCCATGCGAAAATCATTGATCAGCTGCCTCTTGCACGCCCCACACGGGATCGAGCCCACAACCCGGGCATGTACCCTGGAGAATCAAACCCTAGGCCTTCGGTCCGCAGGTTGACCCTCTATCCACTGAGCCAAATAGGCGAGGGCTACCAACGCCTATTTCCAAGGAAGCAACGTGAGTGATTTCTTGGCTACGCCTTGTAATATTATGGCATCTCAGAGCCATTACTCTGGGGGTTGAGTTTTTGTCTTTTTTTTTTTCCTTAGAGGGGATCGTTTCCTTTACACTGTTATTGCCCTTCCTGAAGAGTTTGAAACAAAGATTTAAAAGCCCCACGTTTTTTCTGAAGGGCAATCGTGGCATAATCCGACAGTGAACAGCTATTAAGCATGCACACGCTGCCAGGGAATTGGCTAGGAACTGAGTGACAGGCACAGATATATGGCCTGATGCTCTTCCTCCAGAAGCGTGTTGCTGGTTGGGGAGGTTTATATAAATCCAGGAAGAGTGAAATAGCCCCGCAACCGGTGTCTCCGGGCGGAGATTTATTTGTCCGGTGAGTGGTGCAAACAAGCGCTATGAATCTAGAGAAGGAAACGATCATTATTTGTGAGCCAGGCTGGTCTTGAGAGGTGCATCACTTAGGGATGGCTGCATATAATAGAAAGAGCGCTAACTGGTCATGACCCAGACGAGGTGATGGGTTACCTGTTTCTTACATAGAAGGAGTTGCTGAGGCAAGTGGCGTCATGATGTTGCCCAGGAGCTCCCAGCTTCTGCTTCCACTTCCCCCGTGTTCCCTCTGCCTCTGTCCCAGAGGCTTGCTAGCGCTCTGGCCCTCACACGCACCTTCCAGACCCCAGGAAGGAGAGAGGAGGAAAGAACGGCGTACTTCCTTTCTCTCGGGGAGACGTCTCCAAGCCCCCCACCTGGATGCGGGGAGACTGGCAACTGTTTCCCTTCCCCATTCATTCCAGAGAGAAGTGGGGATTGGGTAGGCAACACCCAACTGCTGCCAGAGAAGGTAGCAAGAAGGATGTTGAAAATGATAGAGACCAAGAGGATAAGTGAACAGGCACATTCACCCTGCGGCTACTCTCAGAGCTTGCAGCTCTTCTTCCTCCTAACCCGAGTCCTTTTCCTGGCTAAGTGTAAGGGTTAATCCAAGGACCACTTCTTCCAGGAAGCCCTCCCTGGTCTGCTCTGCCGTGTGGTTACAAATCCTCCTATGCTCATAGTTATAGTCCGTGGTCACAGGACTAACCAGCACAGTGTGGTTGCTGTGGATGCTCAGTGGCAAGGTATGAAGGCTTTCTTTGCATTTGGCCGCCCGGCGGACAGGGCAGGCAGGTGGAGGGAATGTGGGCTCTGTGGGGACAGGTGTGGCAGTGTTTCCTCTGGATGAGTATGGCCAACACCACGAGCATATCAAATCAGAGACAGGAGTGAAGCATGGAAGGTGCGATGAGGGGCAGGAGACTTGGAACCC